AAAACACCTCAAAGATTCAGTCAGTTGATCCCTTTAGTGGGAAAAAAAGTATTCAACTATTTCCTCCAGTTAAATAAATGGAGATTGATGGATTTCACTCAGTGCTTTATTTTATATCTTTGCAAAGAGAGAGAAGTTCATCATATTGCCCTTATTGCACGGTTATCAGCCCTGTTCTGCCTGGGCAGCGATTGTTCAGACCAACAATAATGGAAAGTTGTCAGAATGAAAATATCACAGGGGGATTGTGCGGCTTTGCAGGTGAAACAGGCTAAATGGAAACTATTATAGTGAGTAAATAGCATAAATTAATATCTAAAATAAGAGAAACTACATTTTCCGACCCCAAACCAGAGACGTTTATTTGTCCCTGAAGACCTTTAGGTCCATCTACCTCCAGCGGATGTATAGTGTGTGTACTGGGTTTGTTGTATAAATGTATGTACTGAGCTCGCACCAGTCACAGCTCTATCTCTCTCTACGGACGTAAAATAAATCTGTGTTTTTGCAAAATTGCCTCAGCTTCCAAACGCCACAAAACATTTTCAGAAAATAAAGAGTTTTTATATATATTAAAGAAATATAAAGCTGACGAACGGTTTCTCAATTATTAAACTGATACATAATTTTTTTAGGTTTGTGACTCAATACTGGAACATGCAAAACCTGCTAATAAAATTATGTTTTGTTTTTATTGAGTGTTTTTATTTGTGTTTTTTATTGTTGGCATTCATATAAATATACTGCCTTTTGATTGGTTTTTGATAAACGTCTATTTTGAATTTATATCCCCCCTTGGAGAAAACTCTATGGAAGCAAATTGTTACCATATTTCAAATGAAAAAGCATTTTCAGAAATGCTTTTTCATTTTAAGAATGTGGCTGCATTATTTGGCTCATAAATTAAATTAGTAATCAATCATCCTGTTTGCATTTTCTTCTTTAAGGCTGCTCATTTTATGCCGTAATCAAAGAGAAAACACAGCAGACATTGCTTTTTCATTTTTCATGGTCTGCCTGCAAAGTACTGTCCACAACTATAAAATGAAAAAGCATTCTGAGCGGCGGGGTCAGCAGAGTGACATCAGCAGCCGCTCTTCCAAAGGTCCTTGCTGACCGGGCTACCCATCTTGTTCGGTAGGGGGCGCCGTGCATGTCTGCATTGCATTACATTGCAAGCGTGCCGGCAGGAAACTGGTTGAATTGCCGGGTCTGACTATCAATTGAATTTGCAATTTATCTTTATTGTCATTGTCACATGAACAACCAAATTTTAAAAAAGTGCCATCGATCAGTGCATATGCTTAAAAAACAAAAACAAAAATCGGGACATCCTGACCGACCACAATGACCAAAACAGTGGCAGCGCTACTGAGGGAGGCCGCTGCTGCTTTAGAGCAAGTGCCTGCTTCTAACGGACTTGTAAAAACGCCGACTGCTCCCGAGTTTCCCACCGGCACGCTTACAATGCAATGCAATGCAGACATGCACGGCGCCCCCTACTGAACAAGATGGGTAGCCCGGTCAGCTAAGATCTGAGGAAGAGCGGCTGCTGACATCATTCTGCTGCGCCCGCCGCTCAGAATCTTTTCCGTTTTCGAGTTGTGGACAGTACTTTGCAGGCAGACCACGAAAACGAAAAAGCAATGTCTGCCGTGTTTTCTCTTTGATTGTGGCATAAAATGAGCAGCCTTAGAAAAGAAAATGCAAACAGGATGATTGATTACTAATTTCATTTATGAGTCAAATAATGCAGCCACATTCTGAAAATGAAAAAGCATTTCTGGAAATGCCTTTTTTTTTATTTTCAAATTTTACATTTCAGATTGAATTTTGGTTTGTATTTGCTGGGGTACATTTTCAAAAATAAATCTCAAATGTCTTTTTTCTTTTTCATTTTAATTAGGTAAAAGGATGAGCAGTGTTAAAGAAGAAAATGCAAACAGGATGATTGATTACTTATTTCATTTATGAGTCAAATAATGGAGACACATTCTTAAAATGAAAAGCATTTCTGAAATGGTTTTTCATTTGAAATATGGTAACAATTTGCTTTCATAAAACTCCACCAGCCGCTACTGGATCCTACTTGTATCGTATTTAACATCACAAACCAATGTGGCCCAGATCAGATTGGAAAAAGTCCGGGTACCTTGTTCTGTTCACACAGTCCGGCAGAATCTGACCTCGGTCTGCAGTGTGAAAGCAGCCAAAGTCTCATGGGTCCAAACATCCATCAGAACCTCCTCCAGCAGCAGTTCTTACCCTGAAATGTGGTTCTGCTTGTCTGAAGCGCTCCAGCAGCCTGGAGGTCTGCAGCTCTGAACCCAGATCCACCTGGGTGATGGAGTCCAGGAGTTCTGAGACACAGTTCAGGTCCTGCAGGGTCTGAAAAGGACAGGCGGTTCTAGTAGCGGCACCACTGAGAAGGTTCTGATTGACTCAGAACTTGGTACCTTCATCAGTCTCTCCTGGTTCCCTCCGCTAAACTTCTCTCCCTCCTGATTCTGCTGGGTCTCCATCTGGTTCTGGTTCTGTTGCTTGTTTATTTGCAGTGTGAATCCATCAGGTTGGGGATGTTCTGATGGCGGGTCGGACCCAGATCCAGAGACCTGGAAGGAGCAGAACTTCAGCTCATCTAACCTGGAGTCATTTTTTCATTTTATTGAGAAACAAACTGGACCCGGTTCTGACGGACCGACGTGAACCGCGAACCCACCTCTGGTCTGGATCCTGACTCCTGGTTCTCCTCTAGTTTGGATCTGAGGTCTGGATCAGAACCACATCTTTGAAGCTCAACTGAACCTAAACCAAACAGAGGTTCTGTGGGCTGCACTGCTGTGGATTCCTGGTTCTGCTTCCTGGTCTTCTTGGGTCCAGATCGAGGACTCAGATTCTCCGTCTCCTGTGGTCCAGATCTCAGAACATCTGATTTGGGCCGGTTCTGTAGGTCTAACCTAATCTCTGATGAAGATCTGGGTCGTTCTAACGTCTCTGATCTGGTTTCAGTCACAATATCTGAACGACACCCGAGCTTCAAGTTCCTGATCCAGTCTGACCCAGAGCCCAGGTTTCGGTTCCGGTTCTCCTCTGATCGGGTTCCCAGCTGCCAGTTCTGGTTCTTCTCTGACCCGGATCCGAGCTGCTGGTTCTGGTTCTCCTCTGACCCGGATCCCAGGTGCTGGTTCTGGTTCTCCTCTGACCCGGATCCCAGCAGCTGTTTCACAGTCTGACCCGATCCAAATCCAGGCCAGAGATCTTTTCCCTCTTTGGATCCAGATGTTAGAAGTTCTGATTTGGGTCGGTTCTTTGGTTCAGGTTCTGACCAGGATCCTCTTTTCGAGTCTCTACTCTCAGCTGAGCTGGACTCAGACAGCAAGGTTCTGGTCTCCTCTGATCCCGGTCTTGGTTTTTGTACAGGTCCAGATCTCTGGGATTTCTCATCAGTCTCTAATCTGGTTTGGTTGGTTCCACCTGATCCGGATCCTGGGTTTACATCAGATCCAGATGCGTTCAGATCCTGGAATCTGGGTCGGGTTTTCAGAACGGAACCTAACGCTGGGTCCCTGTTCTCCACTAGCTGTTGGTTCTGGTTTATCTCTGATCCAGATCTTGGTCCAGTTCTGGGTTCTGGTCTGTATTTTCTGTCTGGTGTCTTCTGGTCTGAACTGGATCCAGTTTGCAGGTCTGTGTTTTCAGCTGAGCTGGACTCAGACTGCAGGGTTCTGGTCTCTGATCCAGACTTAGACTGGGTCCATCTCTGGGTCACCAGTTCAGCCACTGAACTGGTTCCAGTGGTCTGTCCTGATCTAAAACTGGGCAGCAGGATGCCAGTCTTTGCTGATCCAGGTCCAGATTCTAGATCTCTGACATCATTTAATCTAGACTGAAAGTTCAGGTGCAAATCTGGTTCTGGTTCTTGTAATCTGGATCCAGGTTCTGGGTTTAGATGTTTAAGGACCTCTGGCTGGTTTAGAGGTCCTGGTTCTGACCAGGGTCTAGGATGCAGCTCTGAAGTGGATCCAGACTTCAGTCGGTTCTGGTTCTGCTGTGCAGAGAGCAGCTGATGTTAGTCAGTTTATTTTTACTATTATTATTATTCTAGTTTTTATTCAAGCAGATTATAATCTGGATGTTCGGCCATAAATCAGATCAAACAAAGACAGAAATCAAACTCCTCATTTCTGAACGTTTCTGCTTTTCTATGTTTTTCTGGTTTAAACAGGAACTCTGCTGACAGAACTCCAACCAGTTTATAACCATGAAAACCAAACAGCGGAGATGTTCTGATGTCAGACCTGACTGGGAGACTTGGGTCTCGTTCCAGAGCCGGTTCTGTTGGACTCTTCCTTCCTCCTCAGAGCCTCCGCCTGCTGCAGCTGCAGCCTGAAGGCCTGGTCGGCTCTCCTCCTGCGGTCCTGCAGCGCCTCCACCAGCTCCTCCAGCTGCAGCACCGCGCCTCGGCTGTGCTGGGAGCAGTTGGAGCTCTGAGGAGAAAATCAGCATCATCTCAAACAGCAAACTGGGGAATCAGCCGATTGATTCGGTCTCTAGTTGGCTGATCAATCTATGATCGGCTACAGATTATAAAAACTGACTTTTTTTTGTAAACTTTATATTTCCATTAACATGAAACTCAGACAAACAGTGAGGAAAATAAGTATTTGAACACCCTGCTATTATAAAAGTTTTGACACTTAGAAATCATGGAAGGGGGTCAAATTGTCATTGTAGGTACATGACTACTGTGAGGGACCTAATCTAAAAAAAAAAATCCAGAAATCATAATATATAATTTTTTAACTATTCATTTGTATGATACAGCTGCAAATAAGTATTATACACACCAGAGAAAATCAAAGTTAATATTTGGTCCAGTAGCCTTTGTTTGCAATTCCAGAGGTCCAACGTTTCCTGTAGTTTTTCACCAGGTTGGCATACACAGCAGGAGGGATTTTGGCCCATTCCTCCACACAGATCTTCTCTAGATCAGGCAGGTTTCTGGGCTTTTGCTGATAAACAGAGTTTGAGCTCCTTCCATAGATTCTCTATTGGGTTTAGCTCTGGAGACTGGCTAGACCACTCCAGAACCTTGATCTGCTTCTTCCAGAGCCGCTCCTTGGTTATCCTGGCTGTGAGCTTCGGGTCATGTTGGACCCAGCCTCCACCCATCTTCAATTCTCTGACTGAGGGAAAGAGGTTGTTCCTATAAATCTGGCAATACATGGCCCCTTTCATCCTCTCCTGGGATGGGACTCATCATTCTTCTTCCTCCAATGGCGGTTAGTTGAATTAGGACCATAAAGTTCCATTTTGGTCTCATCTGACCACATAACTTTCTCCCATGACTCCTCTGGATCATCTAAACGGTCGTTGGCAAACTGAAGACGGGTCTTAACATGAGCTGATTTAAGCAGGAGAATCTTCTGTACCATGCATGATTTCAAATCATGAGGTCTTAGTGTATTACCAACAGTAACCATGGAAACGGTGGTCCCAGCTCTTTCCAGGTCATTGACCAGCTCCTCCTGTGTAGCTCTGGGCTGATTTCTCACCTTTCTTAGGATCATTGAGACCCCACCAGGTGAGAACTTGCATGGAGCCCCAGTCTGAGGGAGACTGACAGTCATGTTTAGCTTCTTCATTTTTCTAATGATTTCTCCAACAGTGGAGCATTTTTCACCAAGCTGTTTGGCGATTTCCCCGTAGCCTTTTCCAGCCTCTAGTGTCTTTGGGCAGCTCTTTGGTCTTGGCCATGTTTGTAGTTGGATTCTCACTGATTGTATGGGGTGGACAGGTGTCTTTATGCTGCTAACGACCTCAAACAGGGGCATCTACACTGCAAACAATGGAAATCTACATAAGTAATTTTTTCTCCAATTGAGGACGAAAGTGAGAAACTTTGCCAATGGAACAAAAACAATTTACATTTAAAATAAGAAAAAACAATTGCATTGTCTTATTTCAAATTCATATTATCTAATTATCTTATTTTAAGAGAAAAGATACTAATTTAATTGGCAAATCATCATATTCACCTGCTCAGATTAAGGGTAAATACACTTAATTTAAGACATTTTCACTTATTTCTAGATGTTTTTTTCAGTGTAAGTTAGGATAATAAATGGAGTGAAGGAGGACATATTGAAGGCAGACTAACAGGTCTTTGAGGGGCAGAATTCTAGCGGATAGACAGATGTTCAAATACTTATTTGTTGCTGTATCGTACAAATAAACAGTGATCATATATTGTGATTTCTGGATCTTTTTTCAGATTACTATCAGTGAAGATGCACCTAGTAGGACAGTTTCAAACCTGTCCAAAATAATAGGGTGTTCAGATACTTGTTTTCCTCACAGTAAATGATTCAAACTTAGTGAACAAATATTAGTTTAAGCTCTGTGATCAGATAAGTTCCTAGTTTGAAGCTGATCATCATGAAGTTTGACCTGCTCCGCCTCAGCTTCTCCGTCCTGCAGTACCCTTCCTGTCCTCTGGAGGGCCTCAGTCCTCTGCAGCTGCCTGAGCTTCTGCAGCAGGAGGCTGCTGCTGGTTAAAACCTGCAGGGACTTTCCCAGAAGATCTGCAAGCCAGAGATAGAAATATCATCCTGTCTGTGTCTGAAATCAGCTTCTAATCAGTTCAACTCTCACAAATAAACCAGATAAATAACTTCAGCTGCTCTACAGCCACTTATTGTTTTTATCTCCATGTTTATTTATGGTGTCAAATATTAAGCTTCTAAACCAGAATATAGGACGTCAGAAATGACATTAATGAAGATTCTTCCCATATCTCAGATTATAGAGACTAAAGTCAAACCAACATTTTTACCTTTTCTGATGAAGTCAAAGGAGAGCTGGACTTCAGTCAGTTTGTCTTTGTCTGCTTTAATCTGCAGATCCTCTAATCTGTCGATGCCAGCGGCAAACTGCAGACAGTAAAAAAGGCCTGAATGAAGGATCAGCATGAAAACAAAGGGAGGTGGGAAACTATCAATGGTTTAATTTAAAGATCATAGATACAAATTATATCAAAATTAATCATTTTTTCAGAAACAATATAGAATCTCTAAAGTTAAACAGGGTAAAAAAATCTTAATTTAATTAAACAACAAAAATAATTGTTTTAAACATTTTGACAGCGCCAAAATATAGAAATATTTACTTCTGGTTACCACGACAACATCGACACAAAATGAATCTGCACCAATAGGAAAAGTCGGTTGATTAGACGGAGCTCAGGTGTCGCCGGATCCTAGTAGCTCCGTATTAAAACTGATAAATTTCTTCTCTGCGTTACATTTCTTAGATTAATGTTAAAAAAAGAAGCAAAACAAAAATAAACATCATTAAAGCTTCTGACTCTAAGAATATACACTTTCCTTTCAGACGGGTTAGTTAATTTGCTTAAGCTAGCATTGGCTTTATGGGACCTGGCCACAGACATTATATAGGTAGACGCCTCATTGGATGCTGTAGGCAGCGATCCGACATGACTAGAGGGCGGCCATCTTGGATCAGACCACAGTTCAGACCTGGCAAACGGCTGGCAAAAGGTAAAGAATAAGAGAGAACTTAGCGAGAGCGCCCCTCACTGGCCAGCAGTAGTTATCTATCCTTTAAAATGTAGATATTTATTCTCAAAAAACTGGAGAGAAAGGGGTCCAAAGGTGAAACCTTGGGGAACGCCAGATAAAATGAGCTGTTAAGATAGATACTTGATCCACAGGTGTGTAAAAGAAAAGACATTAAGAAGGATAATTAGAAACAAAAGATTAAATGCTGCTTCTCGCTTTCAGTTAATTAATTTCAAAAACATTTTGATGAATCTAATAAAGGTTTGCCGCAGTGGGTATAAATAAAGTGAAGTTTTTTTGTGTTAAATATTTCACACCTGTCAGGGTTACTCAGTATGACGGCGGACATTAATGATGCTAAAAAGCAGAAGAAGGCTGCAGGAAAATGAGACATTTCTCAGTGAGAAACAAAAAACTAACCCGACTCTGAGAGTGAGGTAATTTGGGAAGGTTCATTTTGAATAGCTGCTACTGTATAGCCTTTTTAAGTTATGTATTTTCACATCAATCAGTTATAATGCAGAACTTTTTAATCTTTTATTATGGATGCTTCTTGTGCTTTTATTCACATCCTCTCTCATATTTCACTCAGATGATCTCATGCAGGTCTTCTCTGCAGGCCAGCAGACCTTCCATCCATCAAACAGATGTTTATATCGTTCTTTATTCCTATAAAAGTGTCAGTTGTTGCTTTTAATGCCCAGAAATAAACACAGCATGTAGATTATATAAATCTGATCTGTTTTGGAGACTCTGTCTGGATGTTCTACCTGCTGAGATAAACCCTGATATGTTGATGTTTTCTGTTCCACTGAGCTCCTGAGGTCAGCGCTCAGCTTTAGCTCCCGTCTCTTTAAGGACCTCCTCCATCCCTCCTCCATCCCTCCTCCATCCCTCCTCCATCCCTCCTACCTCCGTCACTCGGCCGAAGACGTCTGAAGCCATCTGCAGGACCTCCAGCCGTCTCTCCAGCAGGCGGAGGAGCAGCGACCATCCCTCGCTCAGAGACGCCTTCATCGCCTCTTTCAGCTCTTCGTCTTGCTTCTGTTTCCTCCCTGCGTCCCTCCTCATCCTCAGTCTCTCCTTCTGCTTCTTCTCCACCACAGCCAACACCTCAGGCTCATGTTTCTGTACAAACATCAACTCATCAGTTGCAGCCTGGAGCTCCTTCTCTGACCATCATCTATCATCTGTTGATGTTTTTGACCTGGAGTTTTTCCAGCAGCTGCAGGAGCTCCTGGATCAGGATGTGGTTTTCCTCCTGGTTTGATCCGATCTGGCAGAGTCCTGGCTGGAACTGGACCAGCTGGAGGTGGATCATAGAACCGCTCTGGATGAAGAAACACAAACCAAACCAACGGTTTTACCTTCTAGAAACTCAGCAGGTTTAATAATGAATCTATGATCATTTCATTAAACCAGATTTTTAATCTTTGTTCTCAGAGAATCATTAAGAAATTTAACCTAAAATGTTGTTTTTAAATAAATTT